ACGCGCGGTGTTAGGACAGATGTTCGGGACGAGGTTCGACATGGGGGTTGGGGAGGTCCGGGAGGACGTTCGGGGAGGGAAGGGGGAAGGCGCGCAGCGGGAGGAACGACGTTCCGGGAGACAAGGGAGGGTGGGAGGCTCCGGGAGATAGGGGGGAAGAGGGAAAGACAGGTTGCCGAGCCTGCAGGGGTTGTACTTGCCGCTTCGAGCGTGTTTAACGGACGATGATTGGAAGCCAGCGATTGTGCACACTTCGCAACACGAACTCTTTGTGAGGGTGACACATGCCATCTTGGACGACACCTTCTGGGCAGATATCGAGAAGGTGATGCAAACGTCCAAGAACCTCCTCAAGCTTCTGAAGAAGGTCGACGGCGCGGGCCCCACCATCAGTAAGGTGTACGCCCGTATGGACAGCGCTGTGGAGAAACTGAGGGAGAGCAGGCACTTCACGGAAGCAGAAAAGGATGAGCTAGAGGGTATAATAATGCGGCGGTGGAATACAATGACTTCACCACTGCATTGTGCTGCGCTGTTTTTGGATCCGGAGTACAGAGCGTCGCGGCCGGAATCCGATGCAGAGATTGTGGGCAGGTTTTGGACATGGCTTTACTCGTGGTGCAAGGAGGCTGCGTACAGGGAGGTCGACGCGGAGGTCTATTCTTGGATCGAGGGCACCGGAAGGCACACTACCGAAAATGCAAGGACACAAGCCCGTACGATGCAGCCGGCGAGGTGGTGGCGGAAGTGGTGCAGCGACATGCCCATCCTCCAAAAGCAAGCCGTTCGACTCCTTGGACAAGGCTCCTCCTCCTCTAGTTGCGAGAGGAATTGGAGCTTGTTCGAACGGATTCATAGCCGTCTCCGCAACAATCTTGGCACCGTCAAGCTAAGCACGCTGGTTTTCAACAAATGGAACCAGCACTTGTTGGAGTTCTTGACCAAGAAACCGAAGGTTGACGATGCGGCGAAGTGGGAAGAGGATGAGCCGGTGGAAGATCTCACACGAGATGAGATGGCGTCGGATGCACGCCTGCGGTTGGGGGAGTGGCGTGCCCGCTTGTGTGGAACACATTCGGTCCACGACGAAGGTGAGAATGACGACTCGGGCTCCCACGAGAAGGACATTCCTGTCCAAGCGCAACAAACAGCTGTTGCGGAGGAGGTCACAGTTCAGCATCGTCGGCTGCACAACGAGTTGTTCGAGCTCGAGAGGGAGCTCAACGAGTTGTGGAGGAAGGCAACGAAAGCTTCCAAGTTTTTGGCCTGGCAGCATTTGCATGACTTGGATCAGGCTACCAGGACCATGACCCTCGAGCATGCCAACAAGTACAAAGTTGCGCGGGCTGCTGCATGTGCACCACCCTCCGTACCCGCCAAACGAGGGAGAGGGAGACCTCGAAAGGACGCTGCGACTCATGGGGGGACAGGTGACGAGGAAGTTGAGGATGCGGAAGGTGGAGATTTGGAAGGTGTTGGTGCACCCACACGTGCGACAAGAAAGCGGGGACGACCACGAAAGGCGCCCGTGGAAGAGGAGGAGATTGGAAATAGAAAGGGGACACGGAAGCGAGGATGTTTGCAGGTGCAGCCCGCCTAAGAGAAGGAGGAAGCAACGTTTGAAAAGACGAGCAGCGCTGACAAACGTGGAAGAGGATGAGGT